CCTGACGCCCGAGGACGGATGTGTCCCATACAGTCTCCACAACCGCTGTCCGTCCCTTCGCCCCGCTCCCCGGCCGCCCGCTGGCTGAGGGAACTGGGCTGGTGCGCAGGCAGCATGAACCTGCACCAGCACCCGCGGGACTCCGCGCCCACTTTCCCGGCCACAAAAGGACCACCTCGCCTTTGGGAGACGCATAAACAAGTCATAATATTGAACCCCGTTCTCCTGGGTCCCCCCCCACTTTTCGTTTGTATTCAGCACCACGTTTCTCGCCACTGCAGAGAACTTCATGCCTTTCCTTTAACACAATTACACTCAATAACTGAAAGCCCACGGTGGCCCCAGCCGGGCCTCGGCTCCAGCAGCTAACTCACCGCTGGAGGGACTGTCAGGGACCGGCCCCCTTTAAGGTCTGTCCCCACGCGGCTCAAGGTGGCTCCCAGGCGGTGCTGTTGGTGACACAGTCGCCTCACAACACTCCTCTGATGGCGCTGGTGTCCCCGTGGTCGGGACCAGCAGCGGCCCCCTCAGGCAGGGCCCGGCCGCACTTCATTGGGCGAATAGACGCGCCCGGGCTCTCTCTGAGGACATGCGCCGCTCGAAGGAAAATGAAGCCACAAAACAAGCCTCACACACGAGCCAGGCCGGCTGGTTTTCGGGTCTAAAGAAGTTATGGGGGTGACTGAACATAACAGAGCAAAGGCCCCCGTTGGCCGACAGAACATGGAGGATCTCCAACATGTTAAGAGGCAAAGGCGCGTTCTCATTCATTTGTGAGATTCCTGAGCCCTCGACGGTGGCCCGGGTCACAGGGGACCCCTGTGAGGTCACTCCCCCTCTGCCACTTTGTGGTGTGGTCCCTGTGTGTGCCGCCCCCTTCCCCCCGACACACACACAGAAGCAGCCCCTGGTCCACGCTGAGGAAGCTGCGTCAGGCCTGCCCGGGCTCATGGAGACGCCCGCACACACCTGCGCTCCCCGCTGGCTGGCCGCCGCTCTCCCAGGCTCTGTGGCTGAAGTGAGGACCGCAGGTTCTAAAGCAGATCTGTACTTTACTGTGCTGTGTTAATCCTCACATGAGGCTTTGCTTAATGATTTCAGAGAGAGGAAGGGGGAGAGAGGGAGAGAGGGAGGAAGAGAAGGGGGAGGGGAGAGAGAGAAACATTGATGTCCTTGAGAAACATCAATCAGTTGCCTCCTGAACCCACCTGGACGGGGGAGGGGGACAGGGGGCGGAGGGGTGGGGGTGGAACCCCAACCTTTGGTGTATGGCCGATGTTCCCACCAACTGAGCCACCTGGCCAGGGCTCATGGATTTTTAGGGGGGAAATCCCTTAATTTGGTTCTCTAAGGAGGGATTCGGATTGTTTTGAGAATACTCTGAACTTAAATCAAATTAGCCTCAGCCGTTCCTACGTCACCACAGGCCCACCTGTGGGCGGGAGGAGGGGAGCCGTGGGGCCAAGGCCATGGCTTTCACGAGGGACCTGCCACCTGACTGGCTTCGGAGCGAGGAGGAACTCAGTTCTGGCAGCTGGAAAGATGTGCTGTTCCCAGCACTGACTGCTGTTAGCACTTCATTTGAAAATCAATGTTGGTGTCTCCAAAGCGGAAGAGCAAGGCCCCCTAGAAGTCTGTTCTCCCGGCTTATCCCATGTGTTCGTGCAGCACCCTTTAAAACCCTCTTCCCACGGACGCATCTATTTTTAGTGCGTATTTTAGCAAACAAACCGGAGAAAACAGCGATACCTAAAACCAGGCAGGATCACTGGGTTCTACACCTCTCCTAGGTTTCCTCACTGGTGCGCAGCAAGTCCTCGGTGTACACGTTCCTTCCGGCCCCCCCAGCCTGGCTCCACCCGCCAGGGCCGCAGAGGGCACAGGCCTCTGTTAGCCGCTGCGAACTCACGGGGTCTAATGACAGAACCATACATTGTTAAAGACGCTGGGCGCCGGACTCAGACTCCACTAAATCCAATCCTCAGATTAAGGCTCAAATAGAAAATGTGGGTGCTCCTAGCACAGACTTTCTATTAAGAAATAAGGCTTGGCCCTGGCCGGCGGCTCAGCACTTAGGGTGTTGGCCTGAGTACCAAAGGGTCTGGGGTTCGATTCCCAGTCAAGGGCAGGGTTGTGGGTTCGATCCTCAGTCAGGGTGTATGTGGGAGGCATCCAGTCAACATGTCTCTCTCACATCAATGTTTCTCTCCCTCTTCCTCTCTCTCCCCCCCTTCCTTCCTTTCCACTCTCTCTAAAATCAATGGAAAAAGTATCCTCAGGTGAGGATTAAAAATAAAGAAATAAAATAAAAACTGCAAACCAGCAAATCTGTCTCTCTCTCCCCTTAAAAACAAAAAAAGAAAGAAAAGAAACTGGAACATTTCCCTCTGTTCTGGTCTCCCCTTGAACCCTGCGGCTGGGGGCGGGGCTAGCCAAGCAGCAGGAGAAGGCGACATGAAGGCCTGGGCAGCGCATCCCGGGCTCTGCGTCTGAGAGGGGCCAGACAGTCTCGGTGCCTTTTAAAAGCTGGTAACGAGAAGAGGGGCCAGTCTTCATGACTTAAGGCCTTAGCCCACTGCTGTGTCCTGAGCTGGTGGGAAAGTCATCGTAGTCCCTGCGGGTTCATGTGTTTGAGGGGGGCCTTCCATGTGGCTTCTCTTGCCTGTGTCTGCTGTGGACCCTCCACTTGTGCCCTCACAGGTGGGCATCGAGATTTATCAGGTCAAGAAGATGCCACTGCAAATGGAGGGGCCGGCTTTTTTTGAAGCAGGTGCGTGTGGGGGTTTCCAATGACCCAAAGCCATGGAGTCAGGCATGAGCTTATGCATCTTCTCCACCCCCACCCGGGGCCTCCACTCTCCCCCCCGGTGCAGCCACAGAGCCTCGCTGTTCAGCCGCCGACCTTCCTTCTGTAGCATAGACCGTGACACCGGCTGTGACACAGACGGGCCTGGAGGGGCCTGGGCGGGGACCTATGGGGCGATGGCTCCTCTCCCTGATGAGTCCTGTGACCCAGGGTCAGAAGTGCCACTGAGTCCTTGCTGGTCCCTCAAGCCCAGGGCAGGTGGTCACAACCAGGGAGGGAGGCCCTCAGTCCTGGTGCCAGCTGAGGGCGGGCAGATTACTTTATTGAGTAAACTAGAGGCCTGGTGCATGACATTCATGCACGCAGGGGGGTCCCTCAGCCTGGCCTGCACCCTCTCACAGTCCGGGACCCCTTGGGGGATGTCCACTGCTGCAGAGATTCATGCACGCAGGGGGGTCCCTCAGCCTGGCCTGCACCCTCTCACAGTCCGGGACCCCTTGGGGGATGTCCACCTGCTGCGGAGGCCGGCAAGGCTCCTGCCACCACCACTGCACTCTCCAGCCATGAGCCTGGCTTCTGGCTGAGGGGCGCTCCCCCTGTGGGAGCAAACTGACCACCGGGGGCAGCTCCTGTGTTGAGCATCTGCTCCCTGGTGGTCAGTGCGCGTCATAGCGACTGGTCGACTGGTCGTTCTGGTCGTTCCACCATTTGGTCGCTGGCTTTTATTATACAGGATACTCGGTGGAATGTTTTCTAGGAGGAGCTCGGTGCCCAGGGCGCCTCTGGGTCTTCAGCTGCACTGAGCACTGCCCTCACTGGCTCACCACAGGCACTGAAGCCTCTTCCCGGAGAATCAGACCATCTGACTGCTTTAGCTGATGTGGTGTGGATGAGAGTAATAGTAATAAGACGCGTTTTTTACTTTTTTAATCAAAAATGGGTTTTGAGAAAATGACAAAAAAACAACAAAATCAAAACAACCAACAAACCACCAATAAGCCCGGCAGCTGGCAGGAAACACGGGGACCAATTGCCTTCATGCGGCTCTGAGTAGCCGAGATGGGATTGTCACACCATGTCCCCCAAGGCTCTCCGCTCCCCTGAAGCCGGAGGGTCTCCTGTCATGGCTCCAAGCCCAGCAAGCACAGCCCTGAAGGAAACGGGGGACACCAGCCCACGCCGCTGACTTATGGAGCCCAAGAAACGGCCCTTTGAATCCGCTGGGCCTCCCGGGGTCTGTGGGGCTTCCTGGGGTCTGTGGGCCTCCCGGGGTGTGCGGGGTTTCCCGGGGTCTGTGGGGCTTCCCGGGGTCTGAGGGGCTCCCGGGGTCTGTGGAGGCTCCTGGGATCTGCGGGGCTTCCCGGGGTCTGAGGGGCTTCCCGGGGTCTGCGGGGCCTCCCGGGATCTGCGGGGGCTCCCCCGGTGTGCGGGGCCTCCCGGGGTCTGCAGGGCTGCCAGGGCTGCCCTAGGAGAAGCAGTGATTAAGGACAAGCACCCAGATCTTCTGAGAGGGAATCACAGGAGCTGGAGAGGTAAACCGGCCCCTGGTCCTGACTCCTGAGCCCACAGCGGGCCTCTGGGGCAGGGCAAACGCTGGCTGCCCTCCGCCATCGGGACCCAGTGCCGGCCGGCCGGCCGCCCCCATGGCCCCTTAGTTCTGCGACCAGGGCTCCCACTTGGCCCGGCTCTGCACCCATCAGCCTTCCCACTGGGAAGCCTGCGCGCTCTAAAGCCCAGGGCAGCGGCAGCTGTGCGTGAATTCCGCCAGAAATTCTTAAGGAGAAGGAGGACAGGGACACAGCTATCCGAGGAAAAGTCCTTTAAACATGTCTTCCTTCGACTGATGTTAGAAGCAAAGCAAAGTCCCACTGGACGATGGGACTAAGCTGAACGGTGTGGGCTGCCACCTCCTCCGACCACCCCGCACTGGAAACCTTCACAGCCGCCCGCTTCCCGAGACAGCCCTGCCCGGAGCCCTCACATCAGCGCCCTCAGCAGACACTCGCAGGGCCACGCGGGACGGGCAGCCCAGGGCATCTTTTAAACGCAGAAGAGGGGAGGCAGACCCCTGGGCACTCACTCCGCGCCCTGCCTCACCTGCCCGCTGTGGCTCAGGTGACTGCAGGCACCACAAACACAGACCTATTTCCCGTGCCAGGGCACAGGCGCGCGCACAGGCGGGTCCCCGCGTTACCTGCTCCTGCTGCTGCACCGATTTCACCGAAGCGTTGGGCTCCTTGGCCGTGGTCATGACCGCGCGTCTGGGCGCTCACTAGCCCGGGCAGGTGCGATCCGACTGGGAGTGTGGAGCCCCCGGAGTGCAGTTGGCGAGGGGACTGAGGTTCAGTCCATACCCCGAAACCTCACGGCTATTCCGGAGCGGGCGGGGGAGAAGGGTGGGCAGGCCAGTCTAGTTTCCCCTTTAAAAGCCGAGAACGGGGAGCGGATCCGAAGAGGGAAGATGCCCAGGCTTAGTGGGGCTTCTCCCGTTAGCAACAGCCTCTGCAATCCCACAGAAACAATGTCACTGCTTAGCAACCAGCAACTGGCGGCGCGGTGCAGGGAGGGGACCCGAGTGCGCGCAGCTCCCGCCCGC